GCCATAATTTTCCATCCATCATTACGAACAGAAACAACAACAAAAAAATATGTTCTTTGAGATAAATGAGTGAAAAAAGGAAATATATAATTGCTAGTCTGAAAAAACAAATAAGATTATTTCTAAATTCAAATGGCTAGGTACCGTGTGAAGGTTACATCGGGAATAACGGATTGAAAATGTAAATTACACCATTCTGAATTTTTCTGCGTGGCAGATGTTTAAACCAAACACATCTAGTACGTGATGGAGTCTTTGTATATTTAGGATAATAGCATTTTTAAAATCTGTCTTTAGAAATAATCATATTGTTCTGCAAAGAGAGAATGTCTTTTCAATTTTTTGATCTGTGTATTTTACTTGTACCTTTGTTTGGAGATCAAATTTTTTTGAAAGTATTGTGCATCACGAAGATAGGTGACGCGCGGCAAATAACGAATTGTTTCCTTGCTGGTGACTTTTAAAAAAAGGATTTCACAATTCAAAAGTTTTTACTTAACGTTTTGTACAATGGGGCTCTGCGTTTTATATTTTATTTAACCTTATACACGGAATGGCAAAAGGTAGTAAACACTACATAAAAATAAAGCTAAAACTATCACCTGAAAGCTGACTATATGTTCTAAAAGGAATCGAAATAAATTTCTGAGTTTACATTCCCACTTTTATTTAGGTTCGGAAATTAACAATAGAAACTATTGTACTACCGAAATCCCCCAAAGAGAATTACTATGGCTAATAGATGTCTTAATGGAATACGAAAATATATGAAATCGAATTTAATAAAAAAAACAAAGGTTCTATTGTATAAAAGTCTTTTAAGATCAGTATTAACTTATGCATGTGAAACTTGGCCCATGTCTCGAACAGATGAGATACGAAAGGAACATTTTGAGATTTATTTTTGGAGGAATTCACAAAAATGGAACGTTGCGAAGAAGAATATGTAAAGAAACTTATGTATGTACACTTTTTTCCTATCTTCCATTTTTCATTATACTGACCAAAATGGAGGATTCTAGTTCATTTTGAAATTATTCATAGAAAAGAATAAATACCTTATGTCTGTAAAAAATTTTGAGTGGAAACTAGATAACACGCTCTTATTAATTCTCACTTAGTTACATTTTTAATTTGAACTTTTCTTCATATTTATATCAGTTTAACAATTTAAGTATCTTAATTTCTTGAATCGATTTTATAACACATACACATCTATAAGAGAAAAGCGACTCACTCTCTCCTTTTACTCACCACGTGATCTCCGAAACTATTTTACCCACATACTTGAAATTTTTTAAGCATGTTTCTTTTATTCTGCTGATACCCCTAAGGTTTTGCAGAAATCCATTCCCAAGGAGAGTTGGGGGCGTTATAGATGAAAATTCTCGCTTTTGAACTATTAGATCTCCTGACCTGAAATTTGACACAAGCATCTTTCTTTTGTTGAGTCCTCTAAGAACGGGTTTTACGGAAATCCACCTTCAAGGAGGGATTAAGAGGGTGTATAAAAATCATTTTGCTTAACTGTTTGACAACATAGATGAAATTTGGTAAGTATGTTTCTTTTGTTGAATAGAGATCCGATAAGATCGGTTTGAGGACTTCCAAATAAGGGTGGGGTCTGTTGGAGGCGTTAAAGATAAACATAACTCAGTATTAAAAATTCTTGTCCTACCCTTTTTAAATCAGGGGGTGAGGGCCGTAGGAATATTATTCAATGCTGTCGAAATCTTAATGTCAGGACTTAGTATCTCAATTACTTAAAAACACTCTATATAAATTTAGGTATCTAATATATATGCATATATCAGATATTTAAATTTACCGTAGTAATTAACCAAATTGAAATATTTTAAATTAAATATTACTTTAGGATTGCGGAGGATAAAGGATATTTTTTAAAGTATGTTCTTTACTTTGCTCAATAATAACGTTCGAATTTTCATGAAAATGTGGCTGAAGTGATTTATTTAGGCGAATATGAATTCATTATGCAATTCTGTTGTATTTCGAAATCTGTGGTTGGAAATCTAGTCATGAGTTGAATGTTATTGTTTTATCCTTTCTGTATATTAAGTGTGAATGATTTTTTTTGTTTACTAAACGTTTAGTATGTATCAATCAATTAATATTGATATGAGGGAGCATCAACAAGTAATAAATTAATTTTTCTGATAGCCAATAGAGGCTTCCAGCTACAAATAGCCTACACTGAGCAATAAGGACGAAAAAGTTCCAGAATTATTCATTTGTAATCATTTAGTAGTAAGAGATTACTGGAACAATATATAAATCACTTTCCAAGTGCTTTAACATTGAGTTTTGGAATTAACAATGAAAAACTAAATGAATAAAAATAATATCAAAGGAAACATTTGGAATACGTAAAAAAAAAATGCTCTGGAAATAAATTTTTCAAATTTATTTTAAATTAATTATTATTAATTAACTTTTCTGCTTCAGTAGTTTTCTAAAAACTTCACTTTTCCTTCAAATGTCTTTATTATTCATTGAAATTTTTAATCAGTAGATTTTTTGAGGTATCCGACTACGTTCGGAACCGTGATTTTGCAAAAGCGTATAAATGAATAATATTTATGATATTTAGTGTCACTTAGATTAGAAAATGTATATAAAATTGTTTTATAAGAATAGTATTAAAATAAAAATTATTTAAGTACAATATATTTTGACAAAAAATAAACATAGAATGAACAATTTTCAAAATATTCTCCTTTTATGAAAATGCTTCTATTATAATAATATTTTGCCTGTCCATAGCTCAGACCTGTGTACAGAGGCTCAACTAGAATTTTTGGAATATATAACTTAGTTTATCCATGTTTTACGACAACAGAGGGGAGACATTTTAAGAAAAAAAACGCCGATAATTATTTCAATTGGTGATAACTCTGAAAATAATGTACATTTTTTAAAAATCATAGTTGAGCCTCTGTGCGGAGGTCTGAGCTATATACAGGCAAAATATTATTATAATTGAAGCATTTTTCACAAAAGGAGATCATTTTGAAAAAAAAATTATTCTAAGTTAATTTTTAGCCGAAATATTGTATGTAAATAATTTTTTGTCAAAATGTCCTTAAAACAATTTTATACATGTATTCTAATCTAACTGACACTCAATATCATGAAAACTATCCACTTATGTGCCTTTTTAAAATAACGTTTCCGAACGTAGTCGGATACCTTAACCGAACACATAATCTTTATCCATGAAAGAGAAGAACAACTCACTCACACACTCATCACAATATCTCCGGAACTATTAAACCTACAGACTTGAAACTTGATAGGCATGTTTTTCGGTGGAGTAGAGATTCTCTAAGAAAGCATATTGCGAAAATCGACCCTCAAGTGGGGTTGCAGTGAATTAAGGGGTGTAATAGATAATTATTTCCATTTTTAAACTATCAGACGTACAATCTTGAAATTTGGCGAGCAGATTTTTTTTTGGAGCAGAGATCAGCTATAAAATGGGTTCTGCGAAAATCGACTCCCAAGGGGTACTTCGGGGGATTAAGGGATGTTACCTTACATAAATGAAGCAGAAAAGCGACTCAGTCCCTTTTCTCTCACTCACAAATCGCGTAATCTCCGAACCTATAAGACTTTCAGACTTGATATTAAGTAAAGATGTTCCATTCTTGGAATAGAGATCCGCTAAGGACAGTTTGTTCAAAAAATTAACCCCCAAAGTGTGGCGCGAGGGCTTCAGGGGCGTTAAGATAAATATTCCCGTGTCTTGGCGACGGAATGATGCCGCTTGTCTCTCTATATATATGAAAGAGAAAAACAGACTCTCACTCACTCACTCATCCCGAGATCTCCATGACTATTGGATAGAAAGACTTGAAATTTGACAGACAAGTATCTTTTATTAAGTAGAGTCCATTAAGAACGGATGTTGCGGAGATAGACTCGCAAGGACGATTGCGGGGGTGTTACGAACAAAAACCTCCGTTTTTTTAACCATTAGATCCCCCTACAGGCTTAAAATTTGACAGACAAGTTCCTTTTGTTGAGTAGAAATTGGCTAAGAACAGGTTTGTGGAAATCGACTTCTGAGGAGGAGTTTTGGGGAGAAAACGACAAATATATTTCCGTTTAGAAAGTCCTGGCCTTTTAAAAAAAGAGGCGAAGGCTATAAAAATGTTTTTGAATACAACAATAAGTTTGATGCTAGGACTTAGATATTAGTATCTTAAATAAATAATATATAGTCATACAGCATCATGAAATACCAGAAAAGTGGGTGGGTAACAACTAGTTGTATAACATAAGAATTTTTAACCTAAAATTATTGCAAAATTATTCGTTTTTCTTATTCAGTTCCTACTATTAGTTCGTATTCTCCCTATATATATATATATATATATATATATATATATTTTTAATAAAAAATATTTTTTATTATTCCTCTCCTTGAGACATTCATTATTGTTCTCTTTTCTTTACTTCGTTTTAATATATTATCAGGTTTTTCTTCCATGTGTTGTATTAGGCTTAACTTTTCAACTTGGGGTTTTCCCCCTATTATGTCAAAAATTTCTGCTGTAGGGGGAAGGTTGGATCCATAAAGCATTGCTAACCCTAATTCGCTGGCCTAATTCAGCGACAGCTTTAGAAATCATAATAGGTCTCCAGTTTAGTCCAAAGACTTTTTTGTATCTACATTTGTTGTGTCTGGTGTATTCCAATTTCTTCCTGCTTTAGCACTGTAGGTTCTAGAACTTCTTCACTTTTATTTTATTTTACTATATATATATATATATCTTGTTCAAATCTTCAATCATTAATAAAATACTTTTTATTCATCCACTCAAGTTCAAATACATTTTTCAAAACTTGTAGTAGATGACATTTGATGTTAATACAGTTTTTTCAAACATTAATTTAGAAATTAAATTAAAAAATGAATAAATTGTAGCAAAAATAATAGCCCAACAGTATATATAGAAATAAAACTTGCTCGTCGAATCCCTATAGCGCTACGGAGAGCGCGTTGGACTTCTAATCCAAAGGTCGTGGATGGGAATCCTACCTGGGATGGTCTAATTTCTGAGAATGTGATTTATGAATGAATAAATAGTAGCAAACAAAAATAATAGTCCAACACCATATATAGAAGTAAAATCGCTTTCTATTTTGCCACAATATTGTGATTCTGTCATATGTTTATACATATTTATATTAATTATAATTATTTAATGAAAAGTAACTAAAATAATTTTTTTTGTTGACCTAAGTAGGAATTGAGGAAAAAAGAATGTTTTTTTATATTACTTATGTATTATAAATTACTTATTTTTCAATAAATTACTTATTTCTCACTAACTATATTTAAATTAAGTACACGTGACCTTCCCAGAGGATTAATCAATTTATTGAGTAAAATATATCAAGTTGATTAACATATATCTTTGACTTAGTCTTAATGTTTATTTGCTTTTTATAGGTTTTATTCTTTTCAATAATATTAAGAAGTACTGCAGTTTTATCTTATATTTATAACTATACCAAGCAAAAACAACTAAGGAACACTAAGGAAGTTGTGTAACATGAATCTAATCCTTAAGGCTGCTTAAAGAATTAATCATAACAATTATTTACTATCGATGGCACATTTTTTTAAGTAACCAACGCAAATTGCATTACATTCCCAACATAAGTAATCGTTTATTTCTTCAGTATAAAGTGATATGTAGATGAAAAAGAAATCTGAATATATTCCACCTTTATTTGCGTAAATACTGTGTGATGTCCAAACACCAAACATGTCTTCACATAAATCAACGAAAACTAATAATTAAAATTATCTGTCCCTTCAATTACTATTAATCGCTTCGATTCATTAAGTAATGTTATTTTTACCACTCTAGTTACCGATATTCCTCCTCTGGGAAAGTTAGCATAACCACCGAGATGTCTCCGACGTCGTAAATCAGCAAGCAGTGAGTAATTTACGAAGAGACAAAAATTCTAGATGGATCGAGAAACTACGACTCATTGTGATTTACGTGACGGGAAAGAGGAAACAAGAACTCATAAGTAGCGACGTGTGATTGAAATTTGCGTTTTAGTCGACAAAAAGCAAATTTGTGATCCTCTTCCTCATTATGAACTATTACCCAATGGATAACACTTTCAGTGGAGTTATCCGTCGCATAGCCTATAAGAGGACCAATCCCAGAAGCCAATGCGTCCATTTGTAGTCAGAGAGGAGAGAAAAAAAGCAAACATTGTTAATTGATGTATTACTGTGTGATATGTAATAAAATATTCCTACTGGAGACGATTAGTGTTCTTTTTTATTGATGGGATGACCTCCAACGAAAAAATGACATATTGTGAAAAGGGTTGATATTATGGTTTTAAATCACTGGAAGAAGTGATCGTGGGCTGTGCTAAGGAAAAGACAAATCAGACAAGTGAGTGAGTGTTTATTAATGTGGAACTCTAAAGCAACATGGGGGCAATCGGCGATGGACCGCGTAATTTTGAACCATGGTCAAGTGACGAGGACACGACACTTGAGCTGGCATCTCCTCTCCAAACTACCACGCTCCACAACCCGAGGACTTACAATCACAACAGATATAACGTGAATCAGCCCCTCTACGCCGTGAGTCATCAGTGATACTAAGACTCGAACACAACAATGTTGACCACGACTTCACGACTATGACCACTAGGTTACCTCAGCTATACAAATCAAACAAAAGGATATTTTTAATAAAATAACACACAAATAAAAAAGGTATAAAGATTCTCAATAAATAAAGTTCTTCTAGCTGGGATACGCATTTTTCCAGAAACTGATCTAAGGGCATAAATAGAAACAATAAAAACTTTTGCAGAGACATTTTTGTGCGTGAAATATATATTTGAATTTTAAATTCATAAGTAAATAGCAGTTAAAAGCTGTTGCGTACGCAGACTTTTTTTTACGGGAGGGGTTATATTTTAAAAAACATGTAGACAAAGTGTCAAGGTTTTGTTAAAAATTAAAAATAGTTTTACCTATAAGAGGGTTTTAAACCCCAAAACCTTACCCTTGTGTACACCACTGGTTTAAAGATTCATTCACATAAAAACTCTCAAAACACATAATGTAATAAACACCAATTTTTTAGAAAAAAAGAAATAACTGACATCGTAATTCATAGCAAGCCTATTAAAGAAATCAGCATTAGAATAATTTAGAAGGCTCTGTTGGTAAACTTCCTATTCTATTAATTTTTATTGTGATTGGCTTTTATTATTACGAAGAATTTCATACGTTCTTATAAAATTTTGAAAAGAATAGTTCGGTAGACTTTTTAATATAAATTTTTTATGGGCTAAATTCATGATGGTCTCATGATAATAGAATCACTGCTTTAAATTTGGATTCAGAGCTGATTTTGAACTCATAAAGTTTGATTGAAAGGTTGGGTTAGCGTTCGAGATTACAGTCCTATGCCAATCAGAGATTTCATCTTGCCGATGAAGTCTTTTGATTAACCAGACGCTCAACGCGCTCGACTATGACCTTGGTGTGATCTCAACTTTAAGTCTTCTTGTATTTGTGAAATCTAGATACAGTTTACAATTTGATGATTGGATGTACATGTGTCCAAGTATTGTGATTCTTCGAAAAGTTTTTCAAAATAAAAAGTTCTTATTTCACACACACACACACATGCTGATTTTTTAAACCGAGTACATTTCATTGTTAAATAATAAGTACGTTTTAGGAGGAGTGTGTAAAAATTAAAAGTTGGCAACCGAGATGAAAGAGCTGGTTGGTTGGAAACACGTGGTTGTATTTTCGTGAGATTATGATGTCACATGAGCTTAGTTCATTTAATTTTTTCGTTGAGTATATTTATAATTTCTAAACCCACTCAGCTATATTTGTATTTCCTAAGAACAAGTAATATATAAAAAAAAATTGAGTCAATTCTTACTTTGAATGGATGAATAGAAAGTATTTTATTAGCGATTGAAAATTGGAATAGGATATATATATATATATAGGGAGAGAGTGAACTAATAGCAGAGAGAGGAATTGAAAAAAACAGCATGATTTGTCTGCATTGTTGTAACAATGCACACCCAGTTTGGCTGAAAAACAGGTTTTCGACGCCAACTTTTGTCTTTGTTTTAACAGTTACATTGTTACAACAATAAAGACAAATCTAAGTTGGCGTCAAAAACTGATAATTAATTAAATTAAATTTAATATAATGAATTAATATTTGAAAAAAACTGTATTAACATCAAGTGCCATCCACTACAAGTTTTAAAAAATTTATTTGAACTTGATTGGATGAATAGAAAGTATTTTATTAACGATTGAAAATTTGAACAAGATAAATATATAAATAAATAAATATATATAGAGAGTAAGAGCTAATAGTAGGGATTGAAAAAAATGCAACAGAAATATTCACGTCTTAACTGTGATGTCGAAAAATATCAAAGAAACATTTGTTTAATTCTAAGCCTAAAATATTTTATTCCAAATTAATATTCTAATTTTGAAAAGCAAAATCTATTCCAATGTGTTTTTTTATTTCAAATGTCCTACATAAGACTCATTATGAGACGTGATTATTAAAACTAATTTCGTAAAAAAAACAAATTAATAAAACGACGTAATTTTTTCTTTTCTTTTTCATTTTCTAATTTGAAGATCGCGAGGTATGCTTTTAATGTTGACAAATGCATCGACCAATGACACGCATAAGCATGACAAAACCAACGTGTGTTGATATCACTTCGGAAATAACTTCTACACAGCAAAGACACTCATTTCTCCTGATTTACGCTGGCGATCACAATGAATTGTTTGATTTTGAAAGAACTAATTACGCAGATATGAGCTCTTTGCAATAATATTCCCCTCACTTGTTGATACGAAAAATGAAAAAAATAAATTTAATGAAAGAAGAGAGAGCAGTTTTACACAATTTTTTCATCCTTTATTTTTCTCTTAATCAAATCTAGTTACGCCATGAATGTTCTAGACAGATATAATTTGTTTTTAATTTTAAAAAAACAACGAGATATCGTACACATTGAAATCGTGCCAAGATTTCGTTATCATTGTGTGCTCGGATTTACGATAACTATAGTTACTTAAATAGAAATTTCTTTTTTTAAAAAATAAAAAAAAGAAAATGATATACTCGAGATACGATTTATTCAACCTCAGTAGATTTGCAATTCATATTTCCCCCCTCTTTTTTAACTATGTTTAAAATTCTGTAAGTTTGATAGCTGTAATGCGCATGAATCCTCAACGTGGGCGTTTGAGACTTTCAGGAGGGCAGTAAAAGTCCCAGAGTATGTTGGGGGTTGAGATTGTATAGAGGGATGGGCAGGTTAATCAAATATAGTCTAATAAAGACTAAAAAAACGCACTGATTATGTACTAACTAAAGTAAACTTTAATTCTGGTTACCTTATGTTGATTGTGTACGCATTAAAAATTTTATATTTGTGGCAATAGCTATTTCAGATTTGCAAGAAAAAAAAATGGAGTGCTTCAGAAAAAAATCTAAATTAAAAATATATATATATATATATATGTTTTATTAGTAACACATAACATTTTTTAAAATTTAATTCTTGTTTTCATCATGTATTACGTACGCTCTTATTTATCTGGTGTGGGAGGGGGGCAGTATCGAAATGTTCACTAGAAAAGGAGGCACCAATTTAAACGGTAACGGTTATACATTTACGTGGAACCTTAGAGAAAAGCTCTATTATCCACTCATCATAATAAATTGAACAGAGAAGAATTTGTTGAAGTTACATATAAAAATAAAACGCTGTCCACATTAAAATGGCACCAATTTTAAAATACCTATGTTGTAATGCATAATATATATATATATATATATATCGTTTTCGCTGAATGTTGACCTACAGTGTAGAAGGGGCATTGTACGTTACATCTGTCACCGCTCAAAGTCGTCACATTGGGGTGGGGAAGGGGAGATTTAGAGAATGTGTGTGTGAGACACCAAATCAGGTGTCATCCTCTACATTCGATCGTG